CATGCACTCCCAGACATGGACAAAGGCAAACAATATCTGGTTGGGGGAAAAAAACCTTGTCAAGTTAGAGTTCCCTTCTGGATTTAGAAGGACATCTTCCTAAGTATGAGTAGGAAGAATCTTAACAAAAGTAATATCTATTTTTACTTTTTTTCAGGTAAGCATGTGTTCTCTCAGCAGCTAGGCAGATCAGTGGATAGAATGCTGGGCCTGGAATCAGAAAGACTAGCTTTGTGACACTGGGCAAGTCATTTAACCTGTTTACCTTAATCCACAATAGAAGGAAATGGCAGGCCACTCCAGTGGTTTGGGCTAAGAAAACCCTATGAAGAGTTGAATATGACTGAATGAATCACCAACAAATGCCATCTCTCTCTTTGCAAAGTGCTCCTATGAGAATTTTATGGGATTGTTGTTGTTGTTATGATTAATAGTTTTTCTAATTCAATGACAGAGACTGTACTATGCACTGTATACAAAAATGACTTTCTAACGCAAATGCTTCTAAAGTATAAACTACAGCTAATGCCATGTCAGTGAATCTTAGTCTAATATTAAATCTAGGGGGGAAAAACAAATGGAAATTGTTAGCATTAGGCTGAAAATCAATATGAGGACTTTGAATTGACAGTGTTGATACTGAAGTGACAGTATTAACATCATCTCTCTGTGCCTATCTGTATTTTTAAAATTTTGTCCCAACTACTAAACCACACATGTACTTTCTCCTCCACCTATTTTAGTTCTTGAATTTGTGTTTTTCCCCTTTAACCATAGCTCATTATACCATTGTGTTTAATCTTTATCTGAAAGAGATTAAGCAAAATATCTTTCAATTTACAGTGACACCAAGGTTTAAGAAATCTGAGTTTTCACCAAAATTGAATAAAACATGGGTGACAAAAAGAAAACAAAAGACAACAGCTACCTGGAACAGTAGATAGAGTGCTGGAGCTGCTGCTCAGTCATTTCCAATTCTTTATGACCCCATTTGGAGTTTTCTTTTCTTTTCTCTTCTTTTCTTTTCTTTTCTTTTCTTTTCTTTTCTTTTTTTTTTTTGAGGCGATCAAGGTTAAGTGACTTGCCCAGGATCATATAGCTAGCTCCTAAGTGTCTGAGGCCAGATTTGAACTCAGGTCCTCATGACCCCACGGCCAATGATCTATCCACTGTGCCACTTAGCTGCCCCCATTTGACATTTTCTTGGCAAAGATACTGGAGTGATTTGTCATTTCCTTCTCCAGCTCATTTTACAGATGAGGAAACTGAGGCAAACGGTTAAATGACTTGCCCAGAGTCATATAGCTAGTAACGCTCTGAGGCCAGATTTGAACTAAGGAAAATGAGCCTTCCTGTCTTCAGGCCTGCCACTCTATCCATTCTACCACTTAGCTGCCCAAGTATAAATGTCAACTATTATTATTTCTGACCTAGAGATTTTCTGAGGATGTAGTTGGAATTAGCAGAGATGCGGGTTATTATTTCTATCATCAATAAACACATCTTCTTAAAAAAAGATATATTTCCATGCCATTTTCTCATTCTCTACTGAAATATAAAGGAGGAAAAAAATGCTTCATTTTCAGATGAGAGGAAGTTAAGTTGAAATTTAGGCATCACAGTTTCAAATTGTGCCACTCAGTTTCTATAAGAAAGTCTCCTTGGAATTACATCATTGTACTGACCCACTTGAAACTTAGGAAGTTAGCAGATCTTTATAGTAGATTCCCATATCAAAGATAAGCCAGTATTCAACATCATTCCAACCTGACTCATGAGTTCCTGAGGTAACATAGGGCCTGTGGCCAGAGAAATGCAGTCCCAGAGATCCTGTTAATTTCTATTGCATTGTATTTATGCCAAAGCAATAGGATTAGCTGTAGGAGAAGATATTTCCCCTAAAAGTTCATCTCCTCTAATGGAGAATGTATAATCTATGAGCGCATACACATATACATACATATGTGTACATATACATATGCATATGTACATGCATATATACCCATACTCTATATTCTATATATGTGTGCATATACACACCATATAAAATATATGGAAGGAGTATTTTCCATTCAGAGTACAATCCTTTCATTTTGTCTTACCAGAAGACTAAGCCTATATCTATGCACATAGGCTGGTCCAACTGTTTTGAGTAAATGACTGGTTGTGAAATAGTTGTTCCGTTGAAATGACCAGTGAGCTTTTCTGAAGACACTCAAGATTTCTAACCCACATTTCTAATTCTGAGTCTTGCTTAGCATAACTGTCTTGGGGACAAGGAGAGGAAAATGGGATGATTCACTGGGACATGGGAATCCATACTTTAAGATCTTTCTCATGCCCCCTGAAAAATTAGCTGTATGAAAAAGTATCCTAATGGCTACAATACAAGCATTCAACTATTTTTCACTTCAAAGCAAGGATTGGAAAATACAAAATATGTTTCCATCATTTTTACATTATAAGGCAGGGAAAAAAATAGTGCACTCTCGTGGGAAATTTCTTTTTTTTTCTAATTTAAATTTTTTTTTATTTTTTCCATATGCTTTTGAGTTGAAAATTTTTCTCCCTTTTCCTCCCCCCCACCCTCCCCAAGACAGCACACAATCTGATATAGGCTTTACATTTACATACCCATTAAACATATTTTCACATTAGTGAAGTTGTAAGTAAAAATTAAAACCAATATGAGGAACTATCAGAAAGATGAAACAAAACTCAACAGAAGGTAAAAATAAGTGATAGGATTCGACTTCCATAGTTCTTTCTTTGAATGTGACAGCATTTCCACCCGAGGCCTCTGGAATGTCTTAGATCCTCATAATGCTGAGAAGGTTCATTTAACAATCTTAGTCATTGCATAACGTGGCTGTTATTGTGTACAAAGTCCTCTTGGTTCTGCTCACTTCACTCAGCATCAGACCATATAAGTCTTTCCAGGTTTTTCTGAAGTCAGCCTGTTCATCATTTCTTACAGCACAATAGTATTCCATTACATTCATATACCACAACTTGCTCAGCCATTCCCCAATTGATGGGCATCTCAATTTCCAATTCTTTGCCACCACAAAAAGAGCTGCTATGTATATTTTTGTACATATGGGTCCTTTTCCCATTTGTATGATCTCTTTGGGATATAGCCCTAGAAGTGCTATTGCTGGATCAAAGGGTATGCACATTTTTGTAGCCCTTTGGGCATAGTTCCAAATTGTTCTCCAAAATGGTTGGATCATTTCACAACTCCACCAACAATGTATTAGCATTCCAATTTTCCCACATCCTCTCCAACATTTATCATTTTCCTGTTTTGTCATGTTGGCCAATCTGATAGGTGTGATGTGGTACCTCAGAGTTGTTTTGATTTGCATTTCTCTAATCAATAATGATTTAGAGCATTTTTTCATATGACTATAGATGGCTTTAATTTCTTCATCTGAGAACTGTCTGTTCATGTCCTTTGACCATTTATCAATTGGGGAATGGCTTGTGTTCTTATAAATTTGTCTTAATTCTCTATATATTTTAGAAATGAGGCCTTTATCAGAAAGACTGGTTGTAAAAATTCTTTCCCAATTTTCTACCTTCCTTCTAATCTTAGTTGCATTGGCTTTGTTTGTGCAAAAACTTTTCAATTTAATGTAATCAAAATTATCCATTTTGCTTTTCATAATGTTCTCTATCTCCTGTTTGGTCATGAATTCTTCTGTTCTCCATAGATCTGATAGGTAAACTATTCCTTGTTCTCCCAGTTTACTTATGGTATCAGCCTTTATATATAAGTCCTGAACCCATTTTGACTTTATTTTGGTATATGGTGTGAGATTTGGGTCTATGCCTAGTTTCTGCCATACTCTTTTCCAGTTTTCCCAGCAGTTTTTTTTCAAAGAGTGGGTTCTTATCCCTGAAGCTGGGGTCTTTGGGTTAATCAAATAATAGATTACTATAGTCATTGACTACTGTGTCTTGCATATTTAACCTATTCCACTGATCCACCTCCCTATTCCTTAGCCAGTACCAAGCAGTTTTGAGGATTGCTGCTTTATAATACAATTTAAGATCTGGAATTGCTAGGCCACCTTCCCCTGCATTTCTTTTCATTAGTTCCTTTGATATTCTGGACTCTAGTGGGAAATTTCTTGAAGAATGCTAGAGCTCTATAAGATAGGAATCTATTCTTAGTCCTTTCTCCCCTATTTTGACATTCTTGCAAATTATACTGGTTGCGGCAATTAATTAGGGAAGGAGACAGAGAAGGAATGGAAGAGGAGAGGGAAGGGGATCGGTCTCATTTTTATATAGGTATGTTAACAGTTTCTAGGCAGCTAGGAGGCATATAGATAGAGTTACAGGCCTACAGTCAGGAAGATCTAGGTTGAAATCTGGCCTTGGATATTTACTAGCTGTGTGACCCTGGACAAGTCACTTAACTCTGATTGCCTCAGTTTCCTCACTTGTAAAATGAGCTGGAGAAGGAAATGAAAACCACTCCAGTATCTTTGCCAAGAAAACCACAAATAGGGTTACAAAAAGTTAGAAGTGACTGAAAAACAACAGAATTTCACATCCTGCTTCCAATACAATAGAATGTAGATCACATCTAAAAGGAGTTACTCAATTTGTTCTGAGCGATTTTTTTTGGGGGGGGGTTGGCTCATGATAGGTGTGCCTTTAGTTTCCGTCTCACTCTGGGAAGAGTGAAAGTTGTGAAGAAGAACCCCAACAATCAGTCTCATTGTTTGCACATGTGACAGGATGGCATTTTGTGGATGTCTTATCCTGTGACAGACTTTGGAAACAACCTGTTTGGCCATTTTGAGTGGTAAGACCTTTCTGTCTCTAGTTCTCTGCTTTCCTTTTAGAAACCGAAAGAAACTGTTAAGTTTAAGGCCCTAGATCAAAGAAGCTAGTTAAAAGGCAAAAGAGATAGTGCCACAGCACAAACTGTCTACTCTGGGAATATCAGTCTCACCGGGACTCAGTGGGAGCGTGCTCACAACTACTCACTTCTCTTTACATAAGATATATTTGTTGGCCATCTTCCTCATAGCAGTTTTTACTTCCTTGTTCCGTAATGTATAGATGATGGGATTCAGTAAGGGGAAGATCACAGTGTGAAACACAGATACTATCTTGTCTAAGGAGAAAGCATCAAAAGGACGTGCATAAATATAGATGGATGGGCCAAACATTAAGACCACAATGGTCATGTGGGAATAGCAGGTGGACGTGGCCCGGTTGGTACTTTTGCCTGAGCCTGAGTGCTTCTTGAGCATGGCCAGGAGGAATGCATAGGACAAGAGTAAAGCAACGAAACACACTACAGAGATCAACCCACTGCTGAAGATCATCACCAACTCCTCTGGGAAGGTGTTGGCACAGGCAATGCGGACCACCTGTGTGATGTCACAGAAATAGCTGTCCAATTCATTGGGTCCACAGAATGGCAGACGGATGATAAGTGCCACCTGGATTATGGAGTGGACAAGACCACCCAACCAAGAGCAGGCCACCAGCACACAGCAGAGGCGCCGGTTCATGATGGTAACATAGTGTAAGGGTCGGCAGATGGCAGCGTAACGATCAAAAGCCATCACTGTGAGCAGGAACATCTCAGAGGCCCCAACAAAGTGCAGGAAGAAGAGTTGAGCAATGCAGCCCCCAAAGGAGATGATCTTCCTTTCAGCAAAGAAGTCCACAAGCATCTTAGGGGCTGTGATAGAGGAATACCAGATGTCAAGGAAGGCGAGGTTTGCCAATAAAAAGTACATAGGTGAAGTCAGGTGGGTATCATACCTGATGGTGAAAATAATAAGAACATTTCCTGGTAGGATTATCATATAGAAGGAGAGAAATATAACAAATAAGACCAGTTGCACCTCCCGGGTCTGGGACAGCCCTGTGAGGACGAATTCTGTCACTCTGGTGTAATTCTCAGTTTCCATTTCTTCACTTTATTTTTCATAGCATGACTAAAGAAAACAAAGAAATCAAAATGACTCATAATATCAAATATGGAACAGATTGCTGTTTTCTCACTTCTTCCCCCAGAAATGCCAAATCTATACTATCACTATGACATTATAGGAAAACAGTTTGAGGTGGCCTCATTTCATAGATAGATAAACTAAGGCAGGAAGAGGGCAAAAGGTCAATCAGAGATCCACCCTGACACTGGAATCAGTAATATTGTAAGTCACAGATGAGAACTCAGTTTATTAATTTCATATACTGCTTTCTACCAAAATAACCAGTGAATTTACATATCTCCCTGTACCATCTCCATTTTAGGAAACTTCTATAAATGTCAGAGATAACTTCAAAAGGAAGTCTGACATTTGCTGAATAGCCTATGGAGTAACTTGATTTTTCATATTTTATTTACATTTTGCTGTTTTGGAAGGCCTTACCACCAGAGAATCTGTTTTATATTGTAATAGGAATTGGCTTGGGCTGGCCTATTCCACAGAGATAGTTTGGCCCTAAGCAGAAGCTGCTTGGAGAATTGTATTTCTAATTAAATATGATTTTATGTAGAACAGTCATACTATTGGGACTTCCTATAGCTCTTTCTTTTTAGCCCAAACCATGGCATCAAGCTAACCTATGTTAATATCCTCTAACGAATGATATAAACTCACTCACACACCCATTGGCCTGTACATGTATGAGGTTCACCTATACTCACAGAAATTGCTATTATCATCATCATGAAAAACATGGTCACTCATGTATAAGCACAACAGAAGACAATGCAGGAACTAATTATTAGGTCACCAAAGTGTATTAATGAAGTATGTATACATATAAATTCCAGCTCAAGTAAGATCTTTTCTTCTATGCCTGCCTCATCCTTCCCAACAGGAAGCAATCTTTTATATTTTAAAACTCCTGCAATATTTTGACTGTACCTTTCATGCAGCATTTCCCAAGCTGAACTCCACTACACGTGACTCCCTTAATTAACATGTGAACCCTTTGAGAGCAGAGACCATCTCACTTTTCTATTTGTATCCCCATTGCTTAGCTCAACAATTGGCACATAGTAAGAGCTTAATATTTTTCATTCCATTCCATATCCTGTGCCCCTAACTATGAGTGTCCTAGGTCATCTTCTCTCTCTACACTCTCCCGATTGGCTTCATCAATTCCAATGACTTCAGAAGGCAATGAGGAAGTTCTGAGTTCAAATCTAGCTTCAGGCACTTACTAGCTATGTGACCCTGGATAAGTTGCTTAACCTTTGCCTCAGTTTCCTTAACTGTAAAATAAGTGTAATGTTAGCACCTACTCCATAGGGTTGTTTTAGGGTTCAAGTGAGATAATTTTTAAAAGCACTTAGGATAGTTTCAGGCACTGTATTAAGGGAAAGTCTCTTTCACTTTCCAATTTCTACATAGATGATCCAGATTTATCCAACCCCACTCTCTCTCCCGAGTTCTAATTTCACATGCTCCTAAGGGCATTGCAAATTGGATATTTGGTAGGCATGTCAAACTCAATGTGTCCAAAATTGAACTCACATTATCTTGACTCAAAACTCATGCCTTTTCCAAACATCTTATTTCTGTCAAGGACAACATCCTCCTAGTTGCTCAGATTTATAACCTAAGAATCATTCTCAATTTCTCATTTCCCTTCACCCTGAATATATAATCGATTGCCAAGTCTTTTTGATTTTGCTTCTACAATACCTCAATTCATCCCTTTCTTTATAACAACGTTGCTACCGCTGTAGCCCAAACCCTCATGACTTCCTGCCTGTAGTATTGCAGTAGCTTCCTGATTGTTTTTTTCTATCATATATCTTCCTCTTCTCTAACTCATTTCACATAGTTACTAAAGTGATTCTCCAAAAGTGCAGGTCTGACTATGTCACTCCCCTATTTAATAAATGCCAGGAGTTTCCTGATGTTTCTGGGATCAGATACAAACTTTTCTATTCAGCACATAAAGCTCTTTACAATCTAGCTTCAATCCAGGCTCTTTATATATTATCCCCTTCATTCACTCTGTGGTCCAGCCAAACCGACTTTCTTGATGCTTCTTACATAAGACATTTCACCTCTTTTTCCTGTGATTTTGCACAGACTGCCCCTCCCCCTACTTGGAATCAGTTAATCAATCAACAATTATTTACTAAGCACCTATTAATGTTCTAGGTACTGTGTCCAATAAAGAATGAAAAAAAAATCCCTATGTTCTAATGGGGAGAAAGTATATATAGAAGCATATTCAAAATAAATGTAAAGAGAATAAATGCAAGGTAATTAAATACAAAGTATTACGGGAGGGAGGATATTGAAATAGAACTCTCTCCTTGCCTCCACTTCTTAGAAACCCTAGTTTCCTTCAAAGTTAAGCTCAAATACTACCTTTAACTTGAAGTCCTTCCTAATCATGCCTGATCCTACCACTCTACAAATTCACCTTGTATTGTATTGCATATACATACATATTTATATTATATATATGTACCCATCACCTCTCCAACAGAATACAAGCTCCTTGAGGCCAGGTATTATTTCATTTTTGTTCTTTTGTCCCTGGCATCTGGTGCATATTAGGCACTCAAAAAATACTTATTATTGATTGATATCTGGTAAGTCAAAGTTTAAACAGGCAGGGCACCATTTTGTCAGCCCCTGAATTACACATTTTCTAAAATTTTATCAAAAAAACACTTTTATAATGATTACTCACAACAATTTATGTTTGTATAACACAAATCATCTGCCTTATAAAAGTTAGTGTGTCTTGTAAGAGAGAAAATCCTTTCCATTCTATTAATGAAGGTTTTAAAAAATTTATCTATATTTAACTCAGTTCTTTAACAAAAAGATACAAGAACCAAAAAACGTTTTCAAATAAGGCCTCTGAAAAGCTGAAATAGGTGACATAGAGGCCATTTACTTCAAATAGCATGAACTTTTCTCATAGGAGAGCCTTCAGATATGACTGAACGCCTGGGGCTCCCACTACAAGTAGGTTCCCTGAAAGCTACCCCAGGTTGAAGACATTATTTAGATCTGCCTTCACATAGAATTATAACCCCATCAAAGTGTTTCTTTTACCAGTCAAACAAAGGATACATTAATTCAAAACAAAAGATAACTAATTTAAAAACATAAGTAAATAAATTACAAGAAAGTCTCCAACCTTTCCCCCTCTTTACTGTAATCATGCTATCAGAGAATGTATCATGGCCAGGGAATGTGATTGAAAAGGCATATCTATAAAGGATTCATTGACAGGACCACTTGAGTCCAAAAAGCAATGTGTCTGCTGGAATTTTCCTCCTCCTCTGAAATTACTTACTTTCTGTAGAACCATTGATGTCCTCTTGTGAAACCACTGAGATAGAAACAGGAATACCTGCTGAGCTTCTCTTTGCTGCCATTTGCTGGTCTTCATTTTTGGAATAGGTTCATCTCTTTTAATACATAGTATCAGAAGCTATTCAGTTCTGTTAAGGTTTAAGACTAGCATGAAGCCTTTACATGTATGCCTCTGCTGTCTTTCAGATGATGTCAGCCTAAACAGCTAATTGAATTTTGTACTTCAGGGCTTTTTGTTTGTTTTATTTTGTCTGTGATTTCAATCAAGCAGAGAATTCCAATACAGAAAGTCCTTCTACTGACAGATTTGTAGATCAGTAACTCCTTTGTAACTTAGAACTTCTATCATTCTTCACATCCCATCCAGCAATAGTTCACCAGGAAATTAAGCCCTACTATGGCAACTCGCCATTAGCTCTACCACTAAACTACTTCTCCCCACCTGCAATAGTCAGCCTCAGGACTTGACCTCTAGACACCATCAACCCTTCAAATCCATCTCAACCCAACTTTCTGGGTCAATCAATCTACTCAGCTTTGGAACTTTCCACTCTGGGACTGAGCTATCCTGTTTAGTGAACGAATGAGTACAATTACCTCCAGTATCTAGATACTGTCTGCTTCATGTCTGTTGGCGGCAACCCACCAAGAAACCAGAGCCTACTGGGAGCATCTAGACATCTGTCCTGCCACCATACAAATACTGCCATTGGTACTGGAAAGGTATGACATGTCAGTGCCCTACGTTTCCATTCACAATCCCTGTATCTTCCTGGACCAAAACTCCCTTCTCTCACTACTGTTCACCTATATATGTTGGCTCCCTCTTTAGAATGTAAGCTCCATGAGGACAGGGCTCTCACTTTTGTATTTGTTTCCCCACCCCTAGTTCAGTGCCTTGAAAACAAGAGGTGCTTAATAAGTTCTTTTCCATGCATTCATTTAAATTTAGAAAATTGCCTGGGACAATGAGGGATTAAGGGACTACTTGACCATGGCCACACAGTGAGTGTATCAGAATCAAGACTGGAACTCGAGATCTTCCTGACTGCAAAACCAATCTTTTATCCAGTATTCCCTGTTGCTTCTACTTCTTTGAGAAAATTATTTCTAGCATTTATCAAACTGCTTAGTCCCTAGTCTAGGGCCCCGACAAATAATCCCACTTAGTGAAACTACAAAATATCTCACTGTGGTGAGAAGAACCCTTTTGATCCTTATCAGGTCCTCCAGGCTATAGGAATCCACTTCAGAGCAAGACTGAAAAGGGCTAACAGAAACTGGAGGAGTTAATAATCTTTGTCCTACTTTCCCTCAGAATCCTATTGTTATATAGTAGAAAGAGTAAGAGGGCCTGGAATGAATAGCCCTGCTAGCTAGGGTCTCTCTACTTGTAAAACCCTACATAAACAACTTAACTTTCTTTGGCCTCAGTCTCCCCATCTGTAAAATGAGAGCTTTGTACTAGATAGCTGTAAACTCACTCTCAGCTCTGCATCTTTGATCCTATTGTCCCTACACACTTTTCTTTTCATAAAAATGTGTAGACAAAATACTATAAAAATTGTGAACAGGAGGAGATCACTTTGAATTGTGGCTTGGGAGAGAGGGGTTTAAAGAAGGCTTCATGGTAG